CATTGTGAAGTAAAGACTTTTGCACAGGGAGTCAAAGGTTGAATAAATCATTCCACTGAATCAGTTCCTCAGTTTCCTGCTGGCAAGAATGTAACCCGGTCCAGCACAATTTAAGACTTCCTTCTAGTCCAGACAGAGAGAGAATAAAGAAAAGCGAAAGCAGACACATGCAGAAGACTTCAGAGAGGCTGGAGTAAATGCACAAACTTGTGTATATGTTGATGATGATATACTCTCTTACATGGAGCTCAAAATGTTAAATAGCCTATATGTACACAAGTTAGTGATTTCAAAAATCCCTAGGATTAAAATCAACTGAGGAATTACACTGTGAGAAATCTGTGTGAAAATTAGGCTACTAAATTTTCCACATAATACGGTCTAATTAAAAAAAAAGAAATTGTTTTGATTAATTTCATAAGCCAATCAATAATTAGCACAATGCATTTCATTAATAACTAAAACTATAAACATAAACCTGTTATTTTTTTTTTCATTTAACATTTTCTTCATTTTGAGAATTACAATTGCTAAGTGATTAATGCCGTGCTCACTGTTACTGTGATTTGCATTTGAGATACAGTAGATGTATTTGTTGCCAAACCACAACTAAACATGAATACAAGAATCGTCATTACCAGACTGACTCGGAGTCTGAACACACCCAGTGAATATACTGCACGAGTGGAGACATGCGCGTGTTCTGCTCCATTCACTTTAGAATAAAATAGTGTGTGTGGTCACGTTAACTTCCGCGGACAGTTTAGTTAAACTTGTCACGGCCTTCGACACCAATGCTCTGCATCTCGGCTCACGGAACAAGCGTTACACACCCCAAACACTATGGGCTTACATTTCTGCCATAATTCTGCGCGCGAAAGATCATATTTTGAGCGCACAAAAGTGCATTTTGCACGCGCGCGATCTGAGTTTGTGGAGAAAATGTTCGTTTCGCAAAGAAAAAAAGTCTTTCGAGCGCACGGAAATCAATTTTGCATTTAAAATACGTTTTTGGATGTGTGCAGACCTTCTCTTTTGCGCGTGCAACGTTTCACTAGCTTGCTCCCTTGATGCCCGCCCTCTGTGCTCTCTAAATGCCAACAGCTCGCGTGCTCAACACAACCCAGCGTTACAATGTGCCATAATTCCAGCCAATCAGAGACCGAGGCTGCTAGTAGTTATAATTATTGGTAAAATGTGCTTGGAAAAAAATATAATCCGAATATCAACTTGCATAATAATTATGCATGCACTGTATTTGTCCTCTTCTGCTGTCGAGGTAATTAATGCAAGAAATGTTGTGACTGGTTGTCAAGGCAGCCAATCAGAATTTAGCAGCCTCGGTCTCTGATTGGCTGGAATTATGGCACATTGTAACGCTGGGTTGTGTTGAGCACGCGAGCTGTTGGCATTTAGCGAGCACAGAGGGGGCATCAGGTGAGCAAGCTAGTGAAACGTGCACGGCGCAAAAGAGAAGGTCTGCACACATCCAAAAAGTATTTTAAATGCAAATTTGATTTCCGTGCGCTCGAAAGACTTTTTTCGTTGCGAAACGAACATTTTCTCCACAAACTCAGATCGCGCGCGTGCAAAATGCACTTTTGTGCGCTCAAAATATGATCTTTCGCGCGCAGAATTATGGCAGAAATGTAAGCCCATAAAAACACCCGCTGGCGTCAGCAGAACACAAAACAGGTGAAGAATCTGCTCACTCATTAAATACCTCAGCTCGAGCTTTCAGTGGCTGTGTGCCAAATTCTGTGAGCTGACTACTCAGACAGCATTCTGGGGATCCATTTCTAGGCGTGTCCTAACGAACGTGTGAATGAATAAATTATTCAAATGAATCTTTTAGCTTAACGAATCGTTCTAGATTCATATTTTCAAATGCAAATAGGCCGAAGCAAATAGCATTCAGTGCAGACTGTAAATTAGCATTTAATTGGTTGGACTTTCTTAAGGAATATTAATATTTTTTTCATTAAATGAGTCACTATTTGGATCTAACCTAGACTGAAATGAGATATGTAATTTATAGGATCAGCTGTCAGATCGATCTGCTTTTATTAGTCAAGAAAACACTTATCACACTTAATCCACGTTCACAACAAGAACAATAACGATAGCTGTATAACTCCACACCACATCTATAAGCATAATGAGGAACGATATGGTTAGAATCCCTTTCAGAACTATTTTTCCAACCGCCTTCAAAGAGCATGAGAATTTAGTGTGCCTTGGTGTGGATGCTAATATGTATCGTTATAGTTTTCCTTCATTATGTGAACACTATTTCTGGAGTTTTGTCAGATTTGTAAATGGTATTGAAGCATTACCGCGGGAAGTAGGGGTGCTGGGGGTGCTGCAGCACCCCCTGGAGTGTAGCCCACGAAAAAATGGGGGTGCTGGGGGTGCGGTGTTAAAAATAAATGAATGAACAATATGTAATACAAAATAAATAATATTCATTTTATTAATTAGTATATTCATTAAAAATCATTGAAAAAAGTAGCCTAAGCCTACAATGACAAGAAGCAACGGTTAAATATGAGTTAAGTCGAATCAAATTAAACGTATTAAACTGACTTAAAAAATCATTTGCTTCATCAACACAGCTATTAAAATAGTTCACTTTTGGTTTTTAATGGAAAAGTGGTCATATTTCGTTTTGTTTCTTTATTAAGTTAATTTAGAAATATGTTTGGAACATTTTATGTTTGTTAAATTCAAGTGTTTGTTTTTTAAAGGAACAACCAAGCGGCAGCAGCAGACAGTGAGTTGAGCATTATGTTTGATCAATTTAGCCTTCTCAAACCAACACGACTTGCCTCAAATAAACAGGCATAAAACACTTCATGCATTTCACAGTATTAATTTAAACATTTAACCTAGATAAATGAGTGCTGTTAGGCACAAATGCAATAGTTCATGCTGAGAGTGGAAGCTAAAGCACTCTTTGCAGGACATGGAGGCGCCAGCGCGATCACTTGCATTTTATTTTTAATAACAGCGGAAACTTAAAAATACGCCGTCATTTTTGCTCATAAAGGTAATAGTATGCATCATTCGGAACGGCAAAGGGTCTACTTGTATTTGTGTGTACTCACAATATCAACAAAACCTTGTGCTTTTGTAAAATACGGAAAACAAACAGGATGCGCTTTCTGTCGTCTTGGTCTTGAGCAGGAGCGCTTCACCGACATGATAAATATATCTATAGAATGCTTTAAATTACTATTTTAAAACGAAATAATTCTCGTGTCACGTGACCCCCCCACCGTTTTATTTCTCAGCCTCCCCAGCTCAAAATACGTTGCTGCGGCTATGTATTGAAGGCTAACAAGACTTAACTCACTGGTTAAGTGAATGATTTCATGATTCGCATTAAAAGGCCATTCGCTTGTCGCCGCCTACTGGCGTAACGGTGAAACTTCCAAAAAGAGTCACTGACCGAATGAGACCAAACGAATCTTTTTAATGAACCGATTCAAACGATTCAAGTCACTGAAAAGAATCAAAATCCCCATCGCAAAGAGGCCACCCAAAATGCTGTCAAGGTAGGGAGCTCGCAAGGTTTGAAACACACCTAATGTCTGTGATTAACAGTGTCAAGTGCTATATAATACATAAATGTATAGCAATATATATATATATATATATACACACACACCAATGCATTTTGATGTATAAATGAATACATGCGGTGTCAACACATTGGGCTGCTTACCTCATTTTCTGACGATATCCCAACGAATATATGGATGCAATAAATAATTTAAAAGGTAAAAAAAGAAACTTAGCAAAGCCACAGAGGCGAGCCAATGTATGTAAAGCTATCGGCGCATAAATATGTATTTTAATTAGTATAAATACAGCACGTGTACTATTCCATAAAACAATGGGTCAGCTTGAATGTATATGCTCATCCAGCGATGCACAGCCAGTCCTTGGATCAGAAGCAATGCAGATGTCTCGAAAGATCTACAGCATATCGCTCTATGTCACCACAGCTGAATAAAACATATCCCATGTTTAGCTCATGGTCGCGCCTACAACATCGATCTGTATTGCGGACTGCAAACGTGCACTGGAGTTGCCATTTTCCTCCACCGTGTTATGACAACGAGAAAGGAGCTTATCGGGACAGTGTAAAAACAAACACGCAGAACAGCGTCTACTGGTGGCCAATATGCGGCATTGCAACTTCTTCTGAGCCCTGCCTCATTGGATTACTGTTATTCCTCCTCTTCCTGTTATTCATGCTCATTTGGTCCTGTTGTATAAACAGGCATAAACAATTTGTTTGATGATAAACGATGTTTACGAATATATCTGCTGCTGGTCAGGGCATCACAGTGTTGAGTGTAAAAAGATGGGAGAAACCAGCAGATGTGTTTTCATATTGTTCCATTTGTGTGGTTGTTTCTAAAAGTGTGTTGCTGTTTGGAAGACTCTATTAAAAACATAATTTTTTAAAGGTGAAACAACTGATTTTTCCCATTTTATTATACATTCATATAATGTAATATTGTCATGCGGTTGTCAACATTATCCTTTAAATTGTCGCTCCAACCTTGATCCAACAAACCTATTTGGTCAAAAACAAAGCGTTCTCATATTTCACAGAAGAACTAACATGTTTTCCTTTATTTTCATGACTATGCCATATACCTGACAATGAATATGGAAAATAGGTTAGACAGTTACAAACAAGCTTGTGCATGCTTAGTTTTATTATTAATATAACAGGCATTTGACTGTAACTGTTTAATCTTGTTTCTCAAGCGGAGGTTATGAAAATGGAGCTTAACTCTAATGTAAATGTGCACTACATGATGACGTTTAGTTAAGATCGCTGATGGACAAAACAGATTTGATGTCAGACTGAGGATTAAACTAAATCAGCGAGTGATGGCTGTAGTGATTTAGCAAGTGAAAGTCATTGAAGGCCTTAATCATTATGCAGTAGTCACTTTGTTTCCCAAACTCATGCTTTTTTCATCCTTGAGAGGATTTTGATGGCTGATTGAATATATATATATATATAAAAATAATTAAATCCATGAAACACCACAAGTAGTTGACTACAACAGAGGATAAAATAAATTCAGCGGTGGGAAGGTGGCTGCAATACCGCAACGTACCATACGGTGGCAGCAAAAGTTTAAAAAATAATTATGGAGGCAAATTTTAGTATAAAATGATGGTTAACGTGCAATTTATCAAAACACAGTCAGTGTGATAGAGTATAACTGATGGTAAGTGATTAAAGTGTTATGATGATATAAACTGGACTGGACTATTCATTCCCGATGTGCTTTGGCATCACATTAAACTTTGTCCTGTAGAGCAGATTCTTTAGTTTGTTATTCAAAGCTAAAGAGATGGGTTTCCATCAAAAAACATCTCTTTCATAGTCTAGGGAACACGTGAGACGGTCAAAACAGAGAGTCACTTCAAATATGGGTGTCCTGAGATAAAATTTAAAGGCAAATAAAATTGAGGCTCCACTTTACTCTGTAGCTGATGGCCCCACTTTTGCTTTCCCAAGTCACTTGATACTAGAAAAATAAGGAAGTTCAATGTGACAGTGGTCATTTTACACTACACGCCACTGCATTATGCTCATGTCCTTCCCTCCTGTAGAGATTAACTGGCTGTCGTCATTTAAGAAATTAACATTGGTGACGTGGCTGCTGTGTCCACCGTAGATGTGACTAGGAGCCTGCAGAGGTAGATAGAGAGAAATAATACCATATATTTGCATTATTCGGTACTAAAATGAACACTATCTAGCTGATGTTTAATATTTAGTGCTGTTTCTTACTCGGGACTGAGAGCAAGGGAACGAGAAGAGGTGAACTTTGCCAAAGTCGTCTCCGGTGATAAGCAGTTTCTTTGCATTTGAACTGCACACAGCATTGATGTCAGTACCATCTGAGCCATCCGGCCACAGTCCTGGAGAGTAACACAAACAGAATATATATGTCATTTCCTGATGGATTTATGGCTGTACACTTACATTTATAAAAGACAACACTACAAAAATAACGCATTTATGCAGATATATGGAGAAGACAAATTGATTTGTTCAATTTAGTATATTTATTACTATCTTTACAAATAAGGCTGGTTTTAAAGAATTATGTATTATTTTGTAGTATTATTTATTATTATTTCACACTGCTATCTAGTCATAGTCATGTCATAAAACAAGAACCTTACCAAAAATATGGAAGCCCAGAATACAGGTGAAAGTGGCCCATTCAATATCCCGGGTGGTCTCCACACTCACTACTTGCTTGCACACAGAAGGAATCCCTGAAAGACAATAATGTGTATCAGTTACTGAATTTATAGTATAAACGGATGGATTTAACTCAGTGGTTCTCAGACAGGAGGCTGGGTCCACTAGGAGGCCTCAAGATGACCTGAAATGTTTTAAAATAAGAAAAGAAATCATTAAAGTAAGCCAAGGCTAATGATATTACTTATTTTAATTCACACCCTCAACAACAGTTTTTTTTTTTTTGAAGAACCAGGGTTCCCACAGTCTTGAAAAACATGGATATATATATACAGGTGCATTTCAATAAATTAGAATGTCAAAAATAACGCATTTATGCAGATATATGGAGAAGACAGTGATTTGTTCAATTTAGTATATTTATTACTATCTTTACAAATAAGGCTGGTTTTAAAGAATTATGTATTATTTTTTAGTATTATTTATTATTATTTCACACTGCTATCTAGTCATAGTCATGTCATAAAACAAGAACCTTACCAAAAATATGGAAGCCCAGAATACAGGTGAAAGTGGCCCATTCAATATCCCGGGTGGTCTCCACACTCACTACTTGCTTGCACACAGAAGGGATCCCTGAAAGACAATAATGTGTATCAGTTACTGAATTTATAGTATAAACGGATGGATTTAACTCAGTGGTTCTCAGACAGGAGGCTGGGTCCACTAGGAGGCCTCAAGATGACCTGAAATGTTTTAAAATAAGAAAAAAAATCATTAAAGTAAGCCAAGGCTAATGATATTACTTATTTTAATTCACACCCTCAACAACAGTTTTTTTTTTTTTGAAGAACCAGGGTTCCCACAGTCTTGAAAAACATGGATATATATATACAGGTGCATTTCAATAAATTAGAATGTCGTGGAAATATATATATATAAGGAAGTCTGATTTTAAAAGTTAAATTTCTAGACCTGGAAAAATATGTAATAAAATCTTAAAATGGCATAGGCATTTGTATAACACTTTTATATAGCATTTTAAATATTTACATAACAAATACACATTTTTCTAAACCATAACATTTTGAAGCATAGAAATGGTGAGTAAAAATAATTTGTAAAAATCCTTATTCAGTAAATCTTGACTGGACAAGTCATGTAAATTCATCGGGATCCCTGAAGGACATTAGGCTCTTAAAGTCCTTTGGGTGTTAGTATCAATATGTTAGTCTTAAGGTTATCTATAAGGCAGTGTGCTCCAAAACAGTGACAAAATTTGCATTTAGAAGATATAAGCATTCAAAACTTGCAGTTTGTCACTTCCGCCAAAACGGCTCAACGATTTTTTTGACGTCACATCATACTTCTATTTGAATTCTACACAGAATGCTATATTTTATAGCAATATGGATGAGATTGTGGCTGGCATACCCTGTCAAATGCGGCTTTACGGAGCTCAACGGCTCTGAACGGCTCTAGCCCAAGCTGTGATATAAATGAACGCTATTGGCTATTTTAAAAAGGGCTTGATATGTCCCGCCCTGTCTTCCTGTTTCAGTTAAAATGACGTCAACACATAGAGTAAGGCTGCGTGTTTCTAAGCATTTCAGGCGACCTTTAACAACAACAACACACAGGTAATAAAAATAAAGATATAAAAAAAAAAAAGACAAAGACCTGTGAATAAAATACACATTTGTGTATATATATAAATAAACAGAAATAGCCAAAAATTTTATGTACAGGTGTGCTATAGATGGAATAAGATGTAGGGATAGACTAAGATGGGTGGTATCAAATAAATATAAGTAGTATTGCACAATGGGGAGAGCATTTAATAGCTAGATACTCACAGTAAAGGATCTCATAGTCCCCTGAGTTGGATACTAAGTACTGAGAATCCACAGACCAATCCAGATGGGTGATGAAACTAGAATGACCCTGTGAGCAATAACAGACAGTGGATACAAACATAAAAAACAAAATTAATTTGAGGAGGCAGATGTGTGTTTGTGTATGTGAAGAGAAAAAATTATGTGCCAGTGTTTATTGTTGTTAACTAAAACTATTGAAAATCATTTTCATTAATCAAAATAAAGCTGAAATATAAATAAAAAATATATGTTTAAAAGACAATTAATAAATCTACAAATTAAAAGTAAAACTGAAAATATAAAAACAAAAGCTAATTCAAGATATTAATAAATACCATATTAGTATATGAATACTAAAATAACACTGGCAGAATCAGCTGGTCTATAATCTCGTGTGGCCTATGATAATCTATTACACACATTTATTATACAAAATAAGTCATATTTTTGCATAAACACACATACTTACTGAGCACTTTCCAACTCTACTGTATTTCTTGCCATTTTCTGCCACAGCATAAATGTAGATGTAGTTATCATGTGACCCGATTGCAAGGAAATTACCATCTGGAAAGAATAACCAAGGGTTTTCAACTTAATCAATTGCAGAGACTTTAATGACTGCTAGTTTTTGGCTGTCATCCTAATGTTTTCCCAGCAAGCAGTGAAAAGGCTGCTGGGAGAATGAACTCTAACCTGGAGAAAAGCGCATAACCGACAGCTGTTCGTTTCCGTCCGTGTGCACCGTGACCAGATCCTTTGATTCGGTATCGAGCACAAGCCACCTGCACAGATTGATAAAGAGTGAAAGGACAGTATTAAACACACAGGTCTAAAGAAACCTGAAACATAACAAATGTTAGACTCTTAGATGAGATCTTCATCCAAAGTCATTATAAGGATTCTTAGGAGAAAAAAAAAGAAATCAATGACAGTTGAACAATGCCGCTGGGAAGGTGTTGTGTTCCTGTGTTGCATTAGCATAATAATACGTGTTTGGCTCTTCCATGTAACACTCTATTAGACCCCTTTTCTGAATTGTAATGATGTGTCAGGGACCCCACTGATGAAAAGAAATCGCCTCACCTGCCCGTCTGCGTTCCTATAGCAACCGTTGCCCCAGAAGGGTGGAAGCCGGCCGACTGAGCGGCGTCCTGTCCGTGAGGGAAACACACATACATGCTCAATCAAACATCCTGTCAACACAAATACGGTTACATCTCAGCCTAAAGAACAGCAGTGCTCATTTCATTACAGTTGCAGTAGTGACAAGAGTTTCAATAACAAGAAACTGATGCGTGAGCTTTGAGATGACACTACAGTAATGTAAGGGAAACCTACTGAGGCGGGCTGCTCACCTCCAATGTTTTGGTCCAGATGGGCTGATGAGAGGCAGAGTCCCACAGGCAAATATGCTTGTCATGGCCACAGGTGAGGAACTGATGCTTCAGCGGATGTACAGTCAGGCCCCATAACTCATCTGTGTGGCCCTGACAATCAAACAGACTTAAACATCAGTTTGGGTGGCATCAATCTGGTTTGAATTTAAGTTTCAAAGAAAGTTTAAAACATCAAATATATTCTGTTTTAGAACCACTAACTGAATTACACTTTTACCCTAAAAAGATTGATTTTGTTTCAACATAGAAGGGAATGAACCTTGTTCTACAACAGACGTTTTCAGTATTTAGAGGGCCAGAGACCCCCACTCAGTGTTTTTGTTGCAACACTTATAAACCTTTCATTAAAAATATTAACTAACACTACTAGGGATGCACTAATATTAACATTCTGGCTGATACCGATAAAGTAATAATTATTTCATCTGTATTTTATATAATACTTCTTGTCTAAATAATTTTAAAATAAAAACATCAAAAACTAAAATTTATGTTTTAATGATGATGTTTTAATTTTAGGCATCACAACATTATAATGTACTGTATGAAAATGGATATTCATTTTAAGATTTGCAAAGTAAGTGTAATTAAATTATTTTAATTATTTTTGTTTTTAAAGATTAATTTTACATTAGCATTAGACAATAGCAAAGGTCTTGTTTAAATGTAAAAATATGGAGAAAGGAGCATAATAAATATCTAATATATATCCAATATTGACCAATACAGATCAATAATTACTTTCTAAATAATGAAATGAAAACAATTCAAATATAATTTAAAAAATACTATATTTAAGTGAAAAAAATATAACTAAAAACATGGAAAATGAATTTCATCACTACATTAAAATGTTCAGTATAAAAAATGGACATTAATTTTAAGATATCCTAAAGATTTAAAATTTAACAGTGTTTAAAATGATTTATTTAAATATTTTAATCAATTAAATATTATTTATTTAATAATGTATTTATATATTTAACATTATATTATTAAATATTTGATCTTAAATATTCATTATTTACTAAATATTATATACTAAAATATTTAAATTAGTATTGTTTTATTTTAAATTATAAAAAAATATTAACTAACACTACTAGGGATGCACTAATATTAACATTCTTTCTGGCTGATACCGATAAGGTAATAATTATTTCATCTGTATTTTATATAATACTTCTTGTCTAAATAATTTTAAAATAAAAACATAAAAAAATAAAATTTATGTTTTAATGATGATGTTTTAATTTTAGGCATCACAACATTATAATGTACTGTATGAAAATGGATATTCATTTTAAGATTTGCAAAGTAAGTGTAATTAAATTATTTTAATTATTTTTGTTTTTAAAGATTAATTTTACATTAGCATTAGACAATAGCAAAGGTCTTGTTTAAATGTAAAAATATGGAGAAAGGAGCATAATAAATATCTAATATATATCCAATATTGACCAATACAGATCAATAATTACTTTCTAAATAATGAAATGAAAACAATTCAAATATAATTTAAAAAATACTATATTTAAGTGAAAAAAATATAACTAAAAACATGGAAAATGAATTTCATCACTACATTAAAATGTTCAGTATAAAAAATGGACATTAATTTTAAGATATCCTAAAGATTTAAAATTTAACAGTGTTTAAAATGATTTATTTAAATATTTTAATCAATTAAATATTATTTATTTAATAATGTATTTATATATTTAACATTATATTATTAAATATTTGATCTTAAATATTCATTATTTACTAAATATTATATACTAAAATATTTAAATTAGTATTGTTTTATTTTAAATTATAAAAAATAAAATTATTATTATTATTATATTATAAATCTAATATTGTAAAGATTAACTTTGAGCGTTAGATGATAAGAAAGGTCTCATCTAAGTGTAAAAATAATGAGAAATGTAATATCAATATCCAATATATATATACAATATCAACCAGAACAGAGAAATTCTTTACTGAAATGAGGAAGTAGTTAATAATTCTGATATAATCTATTAAATTAAAGATAATTCTATATGTTAATATGTATATTATATACTTCTCAACAGACCTGTTGAGACAACACTGGTTACTCATGCGTATTGTGTGTACTGGTTAACTTACCTGGGTGATGGGTATGAACTCCCCATCCAGACTGCCTTGCAGGACATAGTTTTTGGTAGTGCCAATAAGAACCGTTTCTCCCCGTCCTTCAGCCACAGTCCGAATAGGGCCATATAACTCCGGAACCTGAGAGTAACATACAAAATTGCTGGTAAATTATGGCTACCTGCTTGATCGGTACTAATATTCAAGCATACAAATGCATACTGCATACTGCAAAATTATACTTGTGTAGATGCCTTACCTCCACCGTTTGAATCTTTTGATAATTTTCATCCCAGGAGATGAGTTTCCGGTCCTTCCCACCTGAGACCAGCGTACCATTTCTCAACATGCAAAGTGCAAAGACGCTTGCCTCATGTGCTCCCTGAATGGCCAAGCTAATACGATTAGATCCTGTGAAGCATGACCAGAAAACAAGCACTATATAAACCGACTGTTGCAAAACTGGAAACCATCATCAGTACATCAGACAATCAAAGGTGTTCACAGTCTACATGAAAAGAGTCTTATTGATTTGTGTAAAAAAGGAGCACATTCTCTCTTTTATTAACACTAATAAAGAATCTTTTGTTGGCAGCAGGGTCACCCTTAGATAACACACATATGTTATGCTGTACAGCATTCATAATTGTATTACATGAAGATATTTTACAGTTCAATGGAGGTAGGTTTTTACAAAACATTCAAATACATCAAGAAATAACTCAATAATAATAACCCTTTTATTCTTTTACCTTTGCCCCACACAAGTATATTTCCACTCGAGTCTCCAGTGATGGCGTCGCCATTTTCTGAAAAAGTCACACACAATACAAACTTGGGCTTCTCTTGTTTCTGCAAGAAATATAAATATGACTTTATTTTTAAAGCAGAAATGCAATAGATGTATCACACAAAATACAGAGATTACATGTTTTTCATGTAATCTACAACTACACTACCAGTGAAATGTTTAGACACATCTAACTGAACTTAAGTTTCTCGGGATCTTGAGAGCCTTTGGATCTGGAAATTAGTTTTGCAGACAAATATAAATTTATTTTGAAAGAAATGCTAAAGTATAGCAAGGACGCATTAAATTGACTAAACGTAATAAATGACAGTGCAGACATTTATAATGTTACAAATAATTTCTACTTGAAATAAATGTTGTTCTTTTGAACTTTATATTCATCAGATAATCCTGAAAAAATGCATCATGGTTTTCACAGAAATATTATGCAGTGTTCAACATTGATAATAATAAGAAATATTATGACACTGAAGACTAGAGTAATGGCTGCTGAAAATTCAGCTTTTTTCATCACATGAATAAATTACATTTTGAAATTAATATTTTAAATTATTAATATAATAAAAAACAAAATTTGGAATAGTATATTCAAATAAAAACTGCTATTTTAAATTTCAATAATATCTCACATTTTTTCAGATTTTACTGTATTTTTTAATCAAATAAATGCAGCTTTGTTGAGCATAAGAGAATTCTTTCAAAAACATTACAAAATCACAAATGGCAATGTATACATTTCTTTACAAAAGTAACATTCTAGTTCATTTTTAAGTTAATCCCATTATGCACCAGAATGTATTTTTGTTTACTACATCATTTAATTCACATACTTCCGTTTGTGTTATTTCGTAGTTTTGATGACTTCTCTATTATTCTTAAAAGTATAACACAGTAATAATAAAGAATGAGTAGATGTGTCTAAACCTTCTACTGCTAGTGTACATGACGTACATGCACAAGTTTTACCATATCTGAACATGCATCATACTACCATCTATCAAAAAATGAAATTTGATTCAATAAAAAGTGAAAAGGCCAGAGACCCCCACTCAGTGTTTTTGTTGCAACACTTATAAACCTTTCATTAAAAATATTAACTAACACTACTAGGGATGCACTAATATTAACATTCTTTCTGGCTGATACCGATAAGGTAATAATTATTTCATCTGTATTTTATATAATACTTCTTGTCTAAATAATTTTAAAATAAAAACATCAAAAACTAAAATTTATGTTTTAATGATGATGTTTTAATTTTAGGCATCACAACATTATAATGTACTGTATGAAAATGGATATTCATTTTAAGATTTGCAAAGTAAGTGTAATTAAATTATTTTAATTATTTTTGTTTTTAAAGATTAATTTTACATTAGCATTAGACAATAGCAAAGGTCTTGTTTAAATGTAAAAATATGGAGAAAGGAGCATAATAAATATCTAATATATATCCAATATTGACCAATACAGATCAATAATTACTTTCTAAATAATGAAATGAAAACAATTCAAATATAATTTAAAAAATACTATATTTAAGTGAAAAAAATATAACTAAAAACATGGAAAATGAATTTCATCACTACATTAAAATGTTCAGTATGAAAAATGGACATTCATTTTAAGATATCCTAAAGATTTAAAATTTAACAGTGTTTAAAATGATTTATTTAAATATTTTAATCAATTAAATATTATTTATTTAATAATGTATTTATATATTTAACATTATATTATTAAATATTTGATCTTAAATATTCATTATTTACTAAATATTATATACTAAAATATTTAAATTAGTATTGTTTTATTTTAAATTATAAAAAATAAAATTATTATTATTATTATATTATAAATCTAATATTGTAAAGATTAACTTTGAGCGTTAGATGATAAGAAAGGTCTCATCTAAGTGTAAAAATAATGAGAAATGTAATATCAATATCCAATATATATATACAATATCAACCAGAACAGAGAAATTCTTTACTGAAATGAGGAAGTAGTTAATAATTCTGATATAATCTATTAAATTAAAGATAATTCTATATGTTAATATGTATATTATATACTTCTCAACAGACCTGTTGAGACAACACTGGTTACTCATGCGTATTGTGTGTACTGGTTAACTTACCTGGGTGATGGGTATGAACTCCCCATCCAGACTGCCTTGCAGGACATAGTTTCTGGTAGTTCCAATAAGAACCGTTTCTCCCCGTCCTTCAGCCACAGTCCGAATAGGGCCATATAAATCCGGAACCTGAGAGTAACATACAAAATTGCTGGTAAATTATGGCTACCTGCTTGATCGGTACTAATATTCAAGCATACAACTCCCCATCCAGACTGCCTTGCAGGACATAGTTTTTGGTAGTGCCAATAAGAACCGTTTCTCCCCGTCCTTCAGCCACAGTCCGAATAGGGCCATATAACTCCGGAACCTGAGAGTAACATACAAAATTGCTGGTAAATTATGGCTACCTGCTTGATCGGTACTAATATTCAAGCATACAAATGCATACTGCATACTGCAAAATTATACTTGTGTAGATGCCTTACCTCCACCGTTTGAATCTTTTGATAATTTTCATCCCAGGAGATGAGTTTCCGGTCCTTCCCACCTGAGACCAGCGTACCATTTCTCAACATGCAAAGTGCAAAGACGCTTGCCTCATGTGCTCCCTGAATGGCCAAGCTAATACGATTAGATCCTGTGAAGCATGACCAGAAAACAAGCACTATATAAACCGACTGTTGCAAAACTGGAAACCATCATCAGTACATCAGACAATCAAAGGTGTTCACAGTCTACATGAAAAGAGTCTTATTGATTTGTGTAAAAAAGGAGCACATTCTCTCTTTTATTAACACTAATAAAGAATCTTTTGTTGGCAGCAGGGTCACCCTTAGATAACACACATATGTTATGCTGTACAGCATTCATAATTGTATTACATGAAGATATTTTACAGTTCAATGGAGGTAGGTTTTTACAAAACATTCAAATACATCAAGAAATAACTCAATAATAATAACCCTTTTATTCTTTTACCTTTGCCCCACACAAGTATATTTCCACTCGAGTCTCCAGTGATGGCGTCGCCATTTTCTGAAAAAGTCACACACAATACAAACTTGGGCTTCTCTTGTTTCTGCAAGAAATATAAATATGACTTTATTTTTAAAGCAGAAATGCAATAGATGTATCACACAAAATACAGAGATTACATGTTTTTCATGTAATCTACAACTACACTACCAGTGAAATGTTTAGACACATCTAACTGAACTTAAGTTTCTCGGGATCTTGAGAGCCTTTGGATCTGGAAATTAGTTTTGCAGACAAATATAAATTTATTTTGAAAGAAATGCTAAAGTATAGCAAGGACGCATTAAATTGACTAAACGTAATAAATGACAGTGCAGACATTTATAATGTTACAAATAATTTCTACTTGAAATAAATGTTGTTCTTTTGAACTTTATATTCATCAGATAATCCTGAAAAAATGCATCATGGTTTTCACAGAAATATTATGCAGTGTTCAACATTGATAATAATAAGAAATATTATGACACTGAAGACTAGAGTAATGGCTGCTGAAAATTCAGCTTTTTTCATCACATGAATAAATTACATTTTGAAATTAATATTTTAAATTATTAATATAATAAAAAACAAAATTTGGAATAGTATATTCAAATAAAAACTGCTATTTTAAATTTCAATAATATCTCACATTTTTTCAGATTTTACTGTATTTTTTAATCAAATAAATGCAGCTTTGTTGAGCATAAGAGAATTCTTTCAAAAACATTACAAAATCACAAATGGCAATGTATACATTTCTTTACAAAAGTAACATTCTAGTTCATTTTTAAGTTAATCCCATTATGCACCAGAATGTATTTTTGTTTACTACATCATTTAATTCACATACTTCCGTTTGTGTTATTTCGTAGTTTTGATGACTTCTCTATTATTCTTAAAAGTATAACACAGTAATAATAAAGAATGAGTAGATGTGTCTAAACCTTCTACTGCTAGTGTACATGACGTACATGCACAAGTTTTACCATATCTGAACATGCATCATACTACCATCTATCAAAAAATGAAATTTGATTCAATAAAAAGTGAAAAGGTTTGACCACAAAGGCTTATGAGAAATTACCTCAAAAAGACCCTGTTTTTTCACAAGAGATCCCTTTTCTAATGACCAGAAATAAAGGTGTGACTTCCCGCAGGTTACAATTATATTAGCATCTGTCGGGTGGAAATCAGCAGCAAAGATTGACTCATTGGAGCATGGAGCACTGTGAGAAAGAAAAGGCATAAAGATGCAGGAAAAAAGGAATCAGTTTTTCTTTTTCTCACAAATCACAAAATTGCTATCTGTCGATATCTATCCTGAATAGCACTCGCCTTGACTTCAGCAAGTCTTTCCTCCCTCTGCCAGTCCCACACAGAGAGAATGTGGTCATTGGAGTCGTCCACAACACACAACCAGCTTCCTCCATTCTGAAAGTTTTGAAAGACATTTTTAACAACTTGAGGGCGAGTAAACGATGACAAAATGTTCATTTTTTGGGTGAACTATCCCTTTAAACCGACCAGGTTACAGAAAATACCACCCGGTACTTTTTTATTTCACAATAAAGAAAGGTTTGTTTGATGATTCAAAGAACTAGAAGCTGTATTTTGCAGTTTCACATGAGAATGTTTGTTTGTTAACATAATATAGAGTGACTTGCTCTTACCGACTTTGAGAAGGAGAGGCAAACCAGCGCTCGATCAAAGAAACCAGTTCCAAGGATGTGCAACGTGTTCAAACTCACAGAGTCCCACACTCGCACGTGAGGAGCCAACTGCTGCCAGACACAGACAGACGGACTGAGCATGTTAGACCAGTTAAACTTCTATTTGAAGCATGTGGATTTTGGGATCTTGATCCTCCACATTAGTTATGACAGACCCTTGAGGCACATGCAATAATTAGAAGATTTATTTTGGCTGGATCAAGCCTATTAGCAATAAGCTATTAATGTCTATGATTGATACCGGTTTAAAATATCTGAGTAAGTGATCTTACTTTTCCATCTGAGGATGTGCCAGCCACTTGTCCTGTTGCTATGGTGATTTTATCAGGATGGACAGTGAGGCTGTAGGGGAAGACAAAAGAGGTGAAAGATGTAGGCAAGCTGGGACTGTTGAAGAGCCGATGACACAGCAGTGAGAGGACATCGCACATTTAGGACTGTGTGAGTCAATGCCGTCACAACACAATGACCTTGAGCGTTATGAGTCACAGGACTGATCATAAACACAGGAAACTGATCCTGAAA